TGGCTGAGGAACTCTGGGAGTTGAAGTCCACAAGTCTTAAAGTTCCCAAGGTTGGAGACCCCTGCTGTAAAGCACTATGGAGTGGTATGTAAGTCCATGTGCTAAATTAACATCTCAACAAACTCAACTTTGCCTGTCTCCAAGGATGGGACTTTTACAAGCAGAATGAGTCAATGTTCATTTATCTGCCACAATTTAATCAGGGGTGGGTAGCCTTTAGACAGGCAGTGACCACACCTGACATTGCTGGGCTGGTACAAAGCCACAAGTTAGACCAGTCACGTCACTCATACCAGTCCAACAGATGTTTGGAAGAAGTATTGAAGATGTTCTGAGGTGAGGGGGAGTGGGTTTAGATATGATCTGCCTGTTTTAGAGTTGATGTTACAGGTTCAGTAGTGGTATTCTACTGGTTCGACTGAACTGGTTGTAAAAATGCTACCATTCGGCCGAACCGGTAGTAAGAAAACAGCTACCAGTTCAGCTGAACTGGGTTTTTTTTTCTCCCAACGATCTGCTCTTCCGACGAGCAGCTGTGCCGGGATCCCCCTCACTGTCTTACTGCGCAGCCCCCCCCCCATGCTCCGTTTTTCGCCTCCTGGGCCTCAGGGAAGCCTCCTGAGAGCAAAAACGGCCTCCCAGGTGACTTGCCTGAGGTCCAGGAGACCCCCCCAAAAAAATGGAGCGGGGGGGATGCTACCAAAAAAAGCCATGCCCACCCAGTCACATAGCCATGCCCACCTAGCCACTCTCACCTAGCCATGCCCACAGAACTGGTAGTAAAAATATTTGCATCTCACCACTGTACAGGTTGTATCTATTCTATCGTGGACAAAACCACTTCTAAAGAAAATCCCTTTCTAACTCAGTATTACCTTCCTACCTGTAACGTTATAGGACTCGCTAAATGCACCTCGCCCACGTGTCTGCTTTCCAGCTACCTCCCCCTGGCCTTGCTTGGTAGGATGTTTCTGGATTCCCTTTTCACTCATAGTCTAAAACACACAGCAACGGACTCTAGACCCTGGAGGGCTAAACATTTAACAAGCTGAGGGCAAAGGTGAACTGTACAAGGTGTACCTCTAAGAGAGTGATTCTCAAAACAAGCCACCAATAGCTCCAAGCAATGGAGGGACTGTGGACTTACCTTTTCTACCTCTATGGACTCCTTGTGGATGCGGTGTTCCCATGTGAGAATCTAGTGAAGTTGCAGGCTAATGAACTGAACCGAGACCAGGTAACCAAAAATTTAAAAATCCTGGCAGGAAGCCACGTTTAATAATTGCTGTGTTGAGGGAAAACCACCTAAATCCAACTATTTGCAAATTTCAGATGTATCGGGTGAATGGCAGGCACGTAAAGAGATGGAGGAAAAGCATACGAATGTACTGTGTATTAGTGTTGTTACTCCTTTGTTGCACTTCTATCTCATCTTTCTTCCAGGTGCTCAAGGTATATGTAGCACTTCCTTCCCCAGTTTTTCCCCACAACTGAACTATGGGGTATATTGGGATGAGAAGGAATAGCTGGCCCACATCACCCAGTAAACTTCCAAGGATAAGAATAGTCTCAAACCAGAATCTTCCTTTACCTAGTTCAGACTTAAACACCATGGTTGGTGAGCCTAAGTTTTATAAATCTCAATGTTCAAACTAAATTAGTCTTTGATGAGTTTTGCTAATATGTACTGCATATTTTATACAATTGATCTGCTACCTCAATAAATTCAAAGTTATGCTAAAAAGAATTGGGCTGAAAATAAATAGCTTTCTGGTGACAGGAAAGCCCACTTTTTGAGACCGGTTTCAACCTTAGTTAGAAAAAACTTTTGCAAACGCAATCTAGTATCGGTATGTTTTAAATGTCAAGGGTGGCATTTTGGAAAGAGGCAGGAAGAAAAATGGTCCCAACTAAAAGCAGTTTTAACCGAAGCAAGACCAGTCAAGTCCAAGATATTTTGCTTCCTGAAGTCAAACTTTGCAAATCCCACATACTTTTCTACTAACTAATCCAGACCATAATTTATAGGAAAGTTCTTTTGTTCTCTGTCTTGTTGAAAATAATATGGTCTCAGACTTTCAGGAAAAAAAGAGCAAATTAAAAGCAAGTTTTTGCTTTCAGAGTTGCAATGACAAAAGCCATGAACAAACCAGAGTTTATCCTGAGTTGCACCTCTGGGACCTGGGAACTCCTGTCCATGATTAGAAAGCTTTCTGTTTGATCATTCACAGTTTATGGTTTGGTCCAGAAATATCTAGACCAGTTTTTTTCAGCCTGATCACCCCAGATACATTGGGATTACCTAGAATTCTCAACTAAGCCATCGCATATAGAAAGCGGAAATGAATATGGAAATACAGAGACAAATTGCTTGAATGTCTAATGACACTTGGCCAAATAAAGTATTCAGTTCAATTCAAGCAACAGTTTGGGAAGTTTCTTTAAATCACAGTGAGTGAAGATGGTTCATGATTCTGTGTCCACCTTCATAAAAATTAACTATAGCTGGATCACTCTATGGGGAGAAAGTTCTAATCAATGGAAGTCTGAACAGAACATAATAGCAGAGTTGGAAGGGACCTTGGAGGTCTTCTAGTCCAACCTCCAGCTCAGGCAGGAAACCCTACACCATTTCAGACAAATGGTTGTCCAACCTCCTCTTAAAAACTTCCAGTGTTGAAGCATTCACAACTTCTGGAGGCAAGTTGTTCCACTGATTCATTGTTCTAACTGTCAGGAAATTCCTCCTTAGCTCTAAGTTGCTTCTCTCCTTGGTTAGTTTCCACCCATTGCTTCTTGCCCTGCCCTCAGTTGCTTTGGAGAATAGCTTGACTCCCTCTCCTTTGTGGCAGCCCCTGAGATATTGAAAGACCGCTATCCTGTCTCCCCTAGTCCTTCTTTTCATTAAATTAGATATATCCCAATTCCAGCAACTGTTCTTCATATGTTTTAGCCTCCAGTCCCCTAATCTTCTTTTGTGCTCTTCTCTGCACTCTTTCTAGAATCTCAACATCTTTTTTTTAACATTGTGGCGACCCAAACTGGATGCAGTATTCCAAGTGTGGCCTTCCCAAGGCATTATAAAGTAGTAGTAGTATTAACACTTCACGTGATCTTGATTCTATCCCTCTGTTAATGCAGCCTAGAACTATATTGGCTTTTTTGGCAGCTACAGCACACTGCTGGCTCATATTTAAGCGATTGTCCACTAGGACTCCCAAGACTGCAAGGGCTTTCAGTTCCTCTGAAGATTTTTATCAGATAAAAAATATTTTAAAAAACAAACCATATAGGAAGGGAATGTTTTAAAAAGGACAACTGGTCTATGAAGAGGTGGGTTCGGAGTGACCTGATAGCTTGTCTTCCAGTACTTGAAGGGCTATCACCGAGAAAAGAGAATGGTCTTATTCTCCTGTTGAAAGGCTTGGAAAATGCCTTTCTTCTGAGGATTCGATTTTCCTGCTGGGAGAGCTCCGGTGCAAGGATACAGACAACTGCTTGAAAGCTGGTTCTTTTTATTTTTCAGGAAGGCGAGAGATAGCAAGAATTGTGCGTTCCTGGGGCTAGCTAGCTTTGTATAATAAACCCCTGATTTTTATACTTTTTTTCTCCTTTTGTGTGTGAGTGCTTGTGTTTGTATTTCTTAATGTTTTAAATCCTGTCAGGGGTTGTCTTCATTTCCGCCGGAGGGTAAACTCCGCGGGGTGGTTTGATTGGATTATCAGTTTCGTCCTAATGTTTTCTTATATTTGTTTTGTGGCAATCTCCTGTCTGCTTCCTATGGAATTTATTTCGTGTCTTTTGTCTATTTGTTTTTGCTGATTTGGCATGACCTGTTGTTTGTAAGGGATTTCTTTTTCTTGTTTCCCTAGCTTTCTTAATTACTTGGCTTTTGTCTAGGGGGCTTCTTTCAATACCTTTTATTAAATCTCTTTTCCTATGCAAGTTTGTTTTATGGCTGGCCTGATGTTCCCTTTGGGCTTTTCCTGCTTGGGTGTCACCACTGTCCTCATGAAGTTCCCTTTCCACACTCCGAAGCCCCAGAGAGCAGGACAAGAACTAATGAGTGGAAACTTTGTTAAAGAGAGATCCCACCTGGAAATAAGGATAAATTTTCTGGCACTGAGAACAATTCATCAATGGAATAGCTTGCCTCCTGGAGTTGTGGGCGCTCCATTGGTTTTCAAAAATAGACTGGACAACCTTTTGACCGGGACAGTATAAGATCCTCCTAACTTGAGGAAGTGGTGGGACTAGAGAATAGAATTAGAATTAGAATTAGAATTAGAATTAGAATTAGAATTAGAATTAGAATTAATTAGAATTAGAACAGAATGTACACTAATCGGCATACATTAAAATGACACTTTCACTGCATACCAGTGATGGTATTCTACTGGTTCGGCCCAGTTCTGCACAGCCGGTAGCAGCGATGAGCAGCGGAGTCCAAACCCGTTCTCTCCGCCGCTTCTGCTGTTGGGCCCGCCTGCCCGCCTGGGCTCCCATACTCACCTTTATCCTCTGAATTTGAAGCGCAGCTGCTTTGCGCAGCACAGAATAGTGCCGCGTGGCAGCTGCTGAAGCGACCAGGATCGTGCAGGCCTGCAGGAGGTGAGTTAGAATGCCTCTGCACCTGCACAAAGTGCGCATTGGGCACGTACGCGCACGCAAAGTGTGTGTATGTGCGCAAAGCGTGCCCACCAAGCCATGCCCACCGAACCAGTGGTAAAAATACTTATATCCGACCACTGTTGCATACAGCTGTCAAAGGGTCACCACCTCCAATATACACTATATAACCATGACAGACTAAATAAATAAATACAAAAGTATGCATATACCCACATATATTCCATATATTCTAGATGACCTCCGAGGTCCCTTCCAGCCCTATGATTCTATATTCTTATGTTCTCTAATGTAGGCTTGATGTTTATGTATGTGGTGAACCTACCATATAACTATGACATTACTAGATAGGAATCTGTTTTAGTGACTCCTTCCTTCAGTATGTAGGGCGCACGTGAGAATATCCTTTTAAAATGATTGTCCAAGGAGTGAATCTGTAATTAGCAAATGCAGAAGGCCAAATAGGTATTTTTTTCTTGTGAAAAGCTATGTTGGGTAGAGATTATTTTGCTTATTTCCCTCTGTTGCACTAACATACCATCATTCAGTTTGCCAAATTACATGGAATTCTACTTTTAGTAACGAGAAAGCTGTTGAAACACTTAGTTCTTTCCTCAACCCACTCTTTTCTATTTTCTCTTCCAACCCTGAACTGACAATATTTTGTATTCTGGGGGTTGACAATGTGTCAAAAGACATGATCATTGGAGAAAGAACTGTCCTTTTCTAAATATGGGTAATCCTTGAGGCCAAAATGTATGTTGAGGCCAAAATGTATGTTGCTAAGCAAGACATTTGCAAAGTGAGTTTTGCCCCATTTTACGATCTTCCTTGCCACCGTTGTTAAGTGAATTGGGGCAGTTGTTAAGTTAGTTGCATGGTTGTTAAGTGAATCTGGCTTCCCCGTGGACTTTGCGTGTCAGAAGATCGCAAGCGGGGATCATATGACCTTGGGACACTTCAAGCGTCATAAATGTGAGTCAGTTGGCAACTGTCTGAATTTTGAACAAGTGACCACAGGGAGGCTTCAATGGTTGTAAGTGTTGTGAATGACTGCATTAACAGAGGGGATAGAATCAAGATCACGTGAAGTGTTAATACCACTCTATAACGCCTTGGTAGGGCCACACTTGGGATACGGAATCCAGATTTGGTTGCTATGATGCAAAAAAAGATGTTGAGACTCTGGAAAGAGTGCAGACAAGAGCAAGGAAGATGATTAGGGTACTGGAGGCTAAAACATATAAAGAAGCTGGAACTGGGTATGTCTAGTTTGATGAAAAGAAGGACTAGCGGGTGATATGATAGCAGTGTTCCTATATCTCAGGGGCTGCAGAGGTGGGTATTCAGCAGGTTCTGACCAGTTCTGGAGAACCGGTAGTGGAAATTTTGAGTAGTTCAGAGAACCGGCAAATCCCACCTCTGACTGGCCCCTCCAACCCCATCTCTTCTCTGCCTCCCGAGTCCCAGCTGATCGGCTGGGTCTTCTTTGGTTCCCCTGCACAGGAGAACGGAGCTGGAAAGTAGTAGTGGGGTAGGGAGGGAATGGGAATTTTGCAGTATCCTTCCCCCAGAAATGGATTGGAAATGGAGATTTTACAGTATCCTTCCGCTGCCAAGCCCACCATGCCACACTCTCAGAACCGGTAGTAAAAAAAAATTGAATCCCACCACTGAGGGGCTGCCACAAAGAAGAGGGAGTCAAGCTATTCTCCACAGCAACTGAAGGCAGGGCAAGAAGCAATGAGTGGAAACTAATTAAGGAGAGAAGCAACTTAGAACTAAGGAGAAATTTCCTGACAGTTAGAACAATTAATCAGTGGAACCACTTGCCTCCAGAAGTTGTGAATGCTCCAACACTGGAAGTTTTAAAGAATAGACTGGACAGCCACTTGTCTGGAATGGTAGGGTGTAGGGTTTCCTCCCTGAACAGGAGGTTGGACTAGAACAGGGGTCTCCAACCTTGGCAACTTTAAGCCTGGAGGACTTCAACTCCCAGAATTCCCCAGCCAGAAAGCTGGAAGTTGAAGTCCTCCAGGCTTAAAGTTGCCAAGGTTGGAGACCCCTGCACTAGAAGACCTCCAAGGTCCCTTCCAACTCTGTTATTCTATTGTCTTCTCTTAATTTGACCCGAAATAACCAAATTCTCATCTTTGCAGTATCTTGGCAGATGGCTCTTCATCGCGGCCGCATCCTCCTCCTCATCGTCGCTGGAGACTTTTGCCTACGTTGACAGCACCCTGTTTAGTATGAATCAGACCGAGAGCCCAGAGCGACTGCAACTATGGGCTGCCATCCGACTGTGAGTTCAACTTTCCAAAAATTAACACGCATAGACATGTTTTACCAAGGTTGTAGTCCTTATGTCTCCAGGATCTCTCCGGGATCTATACCTTATCCCGGGACAAGGTCTGAACCAAGAATCTCTAGAATATATACAGATAATCCTCAATTTACAACAGTTCATTTAGTGACCGTTCAAAGTTACCACGGCGCTGAAAAATGTGACTTTTGACCATTGTTTAAAGTTGACGACCATTTTGGCATCCCTGTGGTCATGTGATCAAAATTCAGACAGTTGGTAGCTGACTCACATTTATGATGGTGATAGTGTCCTGGGATCATGTGATCTCTGTCCCAGGCTCAAGAATGTGGCAGTGTAGAATAGAATAGAATAGAATAGAATAGAATAGAATAGAATAGAATAGAATAGAATAGAATAGAATAGAATAGAATAGAATAGAAAATAGAATAGAAAATAGAATAGAATAGAATAGAATAGAATAGAATAGAATAGAATAGAATAGAATTAGAATTAGAATTAGAATTAGAATTAGAATAGAATAGAAAATAGGATAGGATAGGTTAGGATAGGATAGGATAGGATAGGATAGGATAGGATAGGACAGGACAGGACAGGACAGGACAGGACAGAACAGAACAAAACAGAACAGAACAGAATAGAATAGAATAGAATTCTTTATTGGCCAAGTGTGATTGGACACACAAGGAATTTGTCTTTGGTGCATATGCTCCCAGTGAACATAAAAAGAAAAGATACATTAGTCAAGGATCAAGAATCATTCTAACTCATCACCTGCAAGCTTGCATGATCCCAGTCACTTCAGCAGCTGCCACGCAGCGCTATTCTGTGCCGTGCAAAGCAGCTGCACTTCAAATTCAGTAGATAAAGGTGTGTATGGGAGACCGGGCGGGCAGGTGGGCCCAATAACTGAGCGGCAGAGAGAACCTGTTGGGTCTCCGCTGCGCATCGCTCCTACCGGCTCTCCAGAACTGGGCAGAACCGGTCAAATACCACCATTGGTCTGGTGGTAATATGGCTTCCAAAGCTGACAATCCCCTTTTGCAGCCTTCTGAAAAGGAAAGTCAAATAGGGGAGGGCGATTCACCCTGAAATGATTCACTTAACTACTGTGGCAAGGCAAGTCATAAAGTGGAGCAAAACTCCCTGAACAAAATGTCTCACACAGCAACAGAAACTTTGGGCTCCATTTTGGTCGTAAGTCGTGGACCACCCGTATCGCACCATTAACGAAGATAAGCCGTGGTGGGATTCAAATAATTTAACAACCGGTTTTCTGCCCTAATGACCAGCTGGGTGGGCAGGACCATGGTACGTGTGGCCAGGGGGTGTGACAGGCAGCACTCGGTCTCCTGCACTCCCCCCCAGGAGCAAAAACAGGCCCCAGGGGGGCCGTACCCCCACACACACACACTTACCCTGTTTTGGGCTTAGTGGGTCTCCCTGCACTTACCTGGGAGCCAAAATGGGGCACGTGGGGGCTCCTGGGAGGGGCAGGTGGGGAGGGGAGGGGCCAGCCAACAATTTAACAACCGGTTCATCTGAAGTGGTGTGAACCAGTTGAATCCCGCTTGAAGGTAAGGGCCTCTTATACGCACCATATGCATAGAGCAGCGTTTCTCAACTTTAGCCACTTCAAGACCTGTGGGCTTCAACTCCCAGAATTCCCCAGCCAACCATGCTGGGGAATTCTGGGAGTTGAAGTCTACACATCTTAAAGTTTCCAAAGTCGAGAAACACGAGCGCAGAGACTCCATAATTTTGCTATGCAAATCCGTGTCAGCATCTTGGAAGTTTCAACTGGTGTTGAGGTAGGGCAGGGGTAGGATTTTATAGTAACGGTGTGATCCTCTGTCCTTCTGAACTACCTATACACTCTACAGGTAGTCCCTGACTTACAACAGTTCGTTTAGTGACCAAAGTTACAACAGCACTGAAGAAAGGGACATAGCCATTTTTCACACTTCTAACCATTGCACCATCCGGTCTTGTGTTCAAAATCCGGATGCTTGGCAACTGACTCATCAGACAGGATAGCAGTCTTCCAATATTTGAGGGGCTGCCACAGAGAGGAAGGGGGTCAAGCTATTTTCCAAAGCACCCGAAGGCCAGACAAGGAACAATGGATGGAAACTGAACAAGGAGAGATTCGACCTGGAAATAAGGAGAAACTTTCTGAAAGTGAGAACAATCCACCCATGGAATAGCTTTGTCTTCAGAAGTGGTGGGAGCGCCATCACTTGAGACTTACAAGAAGAGATTGGACTGCCATCTGTCAGAAATGGTGTAGGGTCTCCCGCTTGGGCGGGGGGGTTGGACTAGATGACCTCCCAAGTCCCTTCCAACTCTGATTATCCCACTCATATTTATGGCAGTTGCAGAGGTCACGTGATCCGCTTTTCTGACCTTCTGACGAGCAAAGCCAATGGGGAAGCCAGATTCGCTTAACAACACTGTTACTAACTTAAGAGTTGCTTAACAATGATTCACTTAACACTCATGGCAGGAAAAGCAATGGTGGTATGTTACTGGTTCGGACCGGTTCAACAGAACCGGTAGTGATCAGCTGAGAGGAGGGGGGAAAAAGCCTCCGATCAGCTGAGAGGAGGAAAACAAACCTGGGACATCACCTGAGAGGATAAAAGACCAAAAAGCGCATGGGAGGGAAGGAGGGTCGCTCCTAGCTTTTCGCTTCTTCATCCTCTCGGCTGATTGGCTTGTTAGGGTGCGTGCGTTGCGGTGGGGTGCGCAAGTGCACACTCGTGCGATCACCCACCGAACCAGTAGCAACTAAGGTTGTATCCCACTACTGAAGAAAAGGTCTTAAAATGGGGGGGGGGAACTCACTTCCCAAGTGTCTTGCTTAGCAACTGAAATGTCACGCCCCTGGTGGAGACTGACTCTGAGGGAGAGGAGGAACAGCTGACAGGGAGTGGAAGTGTGGCTCTGGGGGTTGTGGAGGGGGCTGGGGAAGGGCAGAGGCCGGCTGAACAGACAGAGGAGGACCCAGACCCGTCCCCTCTCCATCCTAGGGCATGCAGGGAGGAGAGGATAAGGGAGAGACTGGTCTAGTCGGGAGGAGAGGGCCTTGATCCTCTTCATGGGCTGCAGCTGTGACAACTGGATAAGAGGATGGACATGCGTACGGGCGAACGCTGGAAACAAAGCGTGGAAATATCTCTAGTTTGTGGTCCCTCTCTGAGTTTGGCGTCCTTCCAGGTGTGTGTGTTATCTGCAGACATCCTCCAGCCCTTGGCTGGTTTGTTTTGCTTTTTTCCCTTCTTCTTATAACTGTTTGTGTGGGAGTTTTTTTTGTCTTCTGTCAAGGATATTCGGAGCTTGGAAGCAAACTGAAGGGATAAAAGGGGCTTCCCCTGTTTTCTGTGACTGTGTTTGTTTTGTATCCCACCCTGGGTCATCACAAGAAATTTGGGGCTCAATGGTGGTCGTAGGTTGAGGACTACCTGTATTAAATTCAGTGAGGCCCCAAGACAGAAGGAATGTAAACGTCGCCCTCGCGCTCACCCAGAACAAAAAGAGGTGTAGTCCCAAGCACAAAATAGCTCGGATTCCTTCCAGGCAGCCCGAGGTCTAATAGGAAGAGAGAAATTTAAGTTGCTTTCATTCACGATCTCAGGGTGAAAAGAGCATTTGTCTGTGACAGCTTTATTGCAGAACTGTAAAAGCGGGAAGCGACCCTTAAGCCATCTGGTCTAACCCATCCCTTGATACAGGAACTGAAAAGAGAGCATTTCCAAAAGAGGGTTCCACAGGTTCTGTTTTTTTTTTTTTTTTTTTTAGGAGGCAACTGGACTTCCTTCTTTTTTCTTTTGAAGACGTTTCAGTTCTCATCCAAGAAGCTTCTTCGGTTCTGACAGGATAGTGGGGAGTGGAAGGATTTATATCCTTCCAGACAGCTGGTCATTTGCATCCTTTTAGAGGGTCATCAAGGCCACTTGGAGGTTTATCTTTGTCCTCAGGGTCACCTGAGTAGTGCTTCTAGTTCCTGTAGTCTGCAATTTTTTCCTCTTGGAAATCCATTCCTATTCCCACAGCATTCAAAGGGTGTTCATCCCAAATTGTATAGCTAAAAATCCGTATATATTATCAGTCATCCAGATCGTGGTTGTCCCAAAGGTGCTTTTTCAGGAAGGCAATTGGCCTTTCTTGATTTTTTTTCTTTTGAAGACGTTTCGCTTCTCATCCAAAAAGCTTCTTCAGCTCTGAAAAAGGGATGTTGGCCTTTGCCAACAGAAGAGAGTATTTGTAGCTCAGGGTTGAACTATGGGGTTCTTGGTGCTCGGTGGTTTTCTGGCAGACGTTTCACTACCAAGCTAGGTAACATCATCAATGCTAGGCTTGGTTTGCTGTGAGACCTCCAATAAAGGGGAGAGATCTTCACTCCTCCTGGTAATTAGTTGCACTGTAGAAGAGGTGGTGGGATTCAAAAAATTTTACTACCAGTTCTGTAGGTGTGGCTTGGTGGGCGTGGCTTGGCATGGTGGGCGTGGCTTGGTGGGTATGGCAGGGGATGGATACTGTAAAATCTCCATTCCCTCCTCACCCCACTAACCTGCTTTCCAGCTCTGTTCTCCTGTGCAGGGCAACAAAAGGAGACCCACCTGACCCAGCTAGGACTTGGGAGGCAGAGAATAGATGGGGGCAGGGCCAGTCAGAGGTGGAATTCCAAACTACTCAAAATTTCCACTACCAGTTCTCCAGAACTGGTCAGAACCTGCTGAATACCACCTCTGAAGAGATCCTACATTAGGATGGTTTTCCTAGCATTCAGTTGGCATTTGTCCTGACATAAATATAAATCATTGAAGGTAATTTAAAAAGAAAAAAGAAACAAGTTGTTAAAGAAAAGAAAGAAAGAAAAATGTCACCTGAACCAAACCAAGGAAGCTGAGTCTTGAGTACATGGAAAAACTCAAATGCCATCAGCACAAGGACTTGGGGTGAATGGGTTATAAGAG